TACACGTGCATTACTGAGCATGCGCATTAATGATTGGCGGTTTTAATATTGGCGATTCACCTTGCAAACCGCCAATCGCCAAAATAAAACTCCGCCAAATTAAAGCGTTATACAGTATTATGAATAATGATTGAATGTATTTTTTAATAATGACATGTAGCTATATTCAAGATATACTGCTGGTTTTGAAGATGCTATGAAAAAACTCACTGTAACTATGGCGAAAGAAAAGAAGCTTGATGTAGTTGTAAAAGAATTTGAAGTGAGTTAAAATGTATACATTACTAATCCATCATCTCAATTCGCTTTAAGTAATAAAGAGCCTATACTGTATGTGTTTCTTGCATTATATGCACATAGATTATTAGTGTTGATGGTTAGTATGTTCAGATACATTATTTACAAAGGATCAAGTAATCTGTCAACATAAGGTTGAAGAATGATAAATCACTGATAGACTTGTGTCAACATCTACTAGTTATTCCTTCATTTTGTGTCAATGGCACTGCTATGGAAGTGTCTGTCCCCATTTTGTTTGTAAAGCAGCAGCTTTCATTGAATCATTCTCCTACAGTGCTCTCATGCTGTGCCTGTGTTCTAAATATAGGTTAGACAACGTATTTGAGGTTTCTACGTGATTTAGATTACCAAGGAAACAAATTTAATTAACCGAGGGCATAGCCCGAGGTTAATTAATGTTTCCAAAGTAATCTAAATCATGTAGAAACCGAAAATGCGTTGTCTAGGCTCTTTAGATTATAGTCAGGTACTGTGAGGCAGTGGGCTCGTTACCAACAAGGATAATGCTGTTGCTAACCAGTCTTTTCCATCTTCTGAAAAGCTATTGGTCAGTGATTTTACCTTGGGAGACGCCGTAGCGACAGCACAAGACAGTTTCAAATCAAAACTAGCTAGGTCCGACAAAGATATCACTGGGCAATGTCTTCTACAATACTAGCCTGTCCTGTTAGAGCTCTGCAGCAAACAGCACAAGGATAAAGATATGCTATCGCAAACCAGCAAGGAGTGCTGGCATCGGTAACCGCCGGGCGAAAAACGAGGGCAGAAACAATTATTGGTGCATAAACCAATGGAATATATACTTGGTGTAGATGGAAGCTACAACTTGATGAAACTCCGTTTATCATGTCTCTCAGTCGCAAAGAGCTAGCAAAATCTATGGAAATGTTTGTCCTGGAAGTGAGGAAAAACTGAAGACGGCACTGAACTTATGTTCCTAATACTCTATACCATATGGTGTGTGGATCTATAATGAACAAAACAACAAAAAAATGGTATAATGACAAAAACAATGTTTGAAATGGGAGGAATAAAAGGAGTCAAAACTAATCATTCTTTACAAGCAACTGCAACGCACTGGTCACCACAGCATCAATGGAGTGAGAAGCTACAAGAGGATATCACAGCTGAACAAATGATTGAGATATCAGATAGTTTAGCGAACATTCAAAATACTCAACAAACAAAATTTTTAATGTCGATGGACGGTGAACCATGAATTGCTTTCAGTAACTGCACAAATTTGACTGTAAATATTCAATAAAAATAACAATTTTATTATTATAAATAATGGTTATTAACAAGTAATCTAAGAAGTTATTAAGAGGTAACTAAGCTACTTAGATTACCTCATTTGACCAATCAAATTGCCTCATTTTACCTGACTATAATCTAATGTTGTACAATTATGCTTTGTGTGTTTTTGTTTTTTAATTTATCGGGAAATGATATTTGTTTTCGTTTTGTTGATTAGAGAAATCTTGGGACCGGTTTAGGCGTTGCTCATTACATGTTAGAGCCAATTCAAAGAATACCAAGATACAAGCTGCTACTGGAAGGTCTCTAGTCCTTTCTTTATTCTGTATAACATTTTACTTCATTTTTTTACTACTATAAGCACTGAGAGGAGAGAGAGGGAGAAAGAAAGAAAGAAAAAGAAAAGAGAAGCATTTTTCTATTTCATTATTTTTCCTTTCTTCTTCCTTTCTTCTCTCTTTGTTTTTCATCTTGATTACATTATGTAGCTTATTTAAAGAATTTACCAGATGATTCAGAAGAACGTTCATCAGCAACAAGTATGTAATAACATGCAGTGTTCATCTCCATCTATCATATCCTATTGGTTTTAGTAAATATTGAATGAACTTTAAAAGCAACAAATTAAATATTGGACTAGCTTCAAGAGCAGCAATTACTGCTGTTGAAGTCCATCCAATATTTACTGATTGCAGCAAAAAGCCTGTTCTCCATCACTGTTGATATTATATCAGTTATTCAGTTTTTTTGATCATGTTCTACCCTAATTGTTTTGTCTCATTATCTTGATGGCATGCACTGAGTAAATATTATCCCACTTATGTTATAGTGTCTATATTTAATTCCCTACCACATGCTATTAGCATTATCTGCTGTACTGTTTTGTTGTATAGAGGCTCTTGAGATTATTGGTGAAGCTGCAGATAGAACTAATAACATGATTAAGGAATTGGTAAGATTTGTATGTCCACACGTTATGGTAGGCATCCACTATGCAACTTTGTTTCCAGTAGATACCTTTGATGTGGTTGTGCAAGATGTTGCACGAAGTTGAGACTCTCTCTACTTCATGCAACATGTTGCCCAACCACATTAGAGGTTTGACCACAAGTTGCAAGCAACAATGCTGTATAGTGGATGCCCACCTTTACATTTCTTCTATGCATGTTGTATTGGAGAAATAACAAAAAGCCTTAACAACCACCCACCCACGCTCCTTTACGTAGGTTGCTGTGGCCATAGTAAACAAAATGGCGGCTTACACATGAGACAAACTTTTATGCTTTCTAATTCTAACAGCAAGAGAACTTAGAACTTGACATTCCTTTGTGCATCTGTAACTTACGTGTGGTAGGTCTCATTGTGTGCATGTACTTATACATCAGACCAGGGTTTCCAAATAAGTTTGCTAAGTGAGCTAAACGGTATGAGCTTCATGAGCTGACAAGCACTAGAATACAGTACATATGGCATTTGGAGCAACTTTAAAAATTCATTAAAAAATTTAATTTTGATCAGAATGAGTCCAAACTTTATATACAACATAAGAACATGTATATGCATCAGAAAATATTAAAATGGAGAATTCTCTCCTTTTCAATTTTTGTAAACTACCAAAATGCCATTTCTCTCTAGTATGACTAGCTGCTTGTTGTCTCGTGATTAATGCTCAGGAGAATGTGTCGTATAATAATTAACAGTCCTGGTCTATTCCCTGATGACTTGAAGCATAACTTTGTATGAAACGAAATCCTTATTTGTTAGCATGTGTATAATAATAATAATAATAATAATAGTATGATATATCTATTGTCTGAGTGATGTTGGTGTCTACCAATTCCTTCATTAGTTCTCCTTGCATACAGTCATATTGTATCTGTTGATATTAGCCTAAGTGGTGGTGGTACAGTACATTGTACATGAAGGTGCCACTCTGTCTGTCAGAGAGTGTCTGATATAATCCAACATGACCACTATAAGGTTGTCTGTCTCCACTATAAAGTAAAGGCCTTTTCACACGCACAATTTTCAAAGCGCTTTGAAATGCGCTTTGTTGATACAGCTGAAATAATGCGCATTGATCGTGTTCACACTAGCAGCTGAACTATGTATCATTTTGTGTTCTTGTTGCCATTGGTTTACATTGATCGAAGCACATCACTTCACATCAATCCACCTCTGGATCCATGGAGGTGAAGTCAGTGATGCGCATTGATGCATTAATTGAAAACCACTCTAGTGTGAACACGATTAATGCCCATCAATGCACATTACTTTGACCAGTGTGAAAAGGCCTTAACACTAATGGCACTGGGTCAGGGACACCTGGCTTCTTGATCCCTTAAAAGAATTATTCCCAATTAAGAGTACCGTATAAGTGGGTTTTTTTAAGTTGCAAATTTTGCGAATTTTACAGATTCCCTCCTGATTCGCGAAATTAAAATCTGCAAATTAGAATTTTAGCAGATTTCGTGAAGTATAATTCCCTTGAAAAAACCCACTTATATGGTATGTCTTTATCATTTTGTACTCTTGGTGGCGTTTAAGCAATCAAAATTATTATTATTTTTTACTATCAAAGTCAGCTTCTCTATTAGTAGTTTATGCTATTTTCTTTCTTGGGAATCATACGCTCTATCTACTCTACCTACTATCCTTATAATTATACAATCCACGTATGATTTTTATTAATATCACCTCTATTGTTTTTTTTTATCCTTATTTTTAGGAAAACTCAAACGAAATCCTCGCAATAGAAAGAACCATCACAGGTTATAAAGGGACACTTTTATTGGCTCACAGAGTAAGTGTATATACTTGCAGTTATTGTGTTTTGTGTCATCATGATGGAATGAGATCCCAATCTTGTATGGATTGTTGTATTAGTTGGATACATAAATTGTATTGTCCATTGGCTATATTATACATTTGTGGTGACTGGTGAGTATATTCACTGGATCACACTAGATATGTTCATGAGTTATGCAATATGCACTATGTTTAATATATAAGTATGATGATGTTCATTTATGTCTGTTTACAATATATTTGTGTGATTGATCAAATTAGAGCTTTATGTAGTTTCCAAATTTTGCATGATCAGTTATCAAACAGTGAGAGGTCAGTGGTCATACACAGTACATGTACTTTATTGTGCTAGTATGACCTTTCAGATCATGTTTTCTGCTGAGCGTACTGCCATAAATATATTTATTGCTACTTTATTGTCCTGACAATGAATATAACATCCTTTGAAATCTGCCGTGTCATTTAGAGATTCATTAAAAAAGGGATGCTCCAGAAGTCATCGAGAAAGACTCAAACTCCACGGATGTTTTTTTTGGTTAGAAATTCTACGCAACAAAAATACTCGTGCTTTTCCTTCTTAATCCCGCCTTTTCTCATTCGCTCACACCTGTTTTCTTAGTCTTTTATCCTTTATCCCCCTTTATTTATTGTTCCTATTATATATTTCATTGCGTTTATCTTTTTTTCTGTTTTCTTCCAGTTCTCAGACATATTGTTGCATACTGAACCAACCGGCCCGTCAACATACAAATTCAAGAATGAGATGAAACTCTGTTCCGTAAGAGTAGAAGTACCCAAAGTCTCTCTTGTCCCTTTCTCCTTTGAGCTACTCGGTACCAATAGAGCTTTCATTCTCTCTGCAAGGTATGTGTATGTGTATGTACATTAAAGACGAGTTCTCATAAAATTTGTAAAGCACCTACAACACATGAAAGGTTATGCTTGAGGTATACCATACAGCTGGTTAATTTTGCGGAGAAAAATTTTGCGAATCCTTAAAAATAACCTGGTTTGCGGATTAAATATTTGCGGTTTTGACAATTATTGTAGCATAGCTACTGTGGTCATGCATGAATTCATTATTTTGCGGATTTAAATTTTGCGCTTTAAATGGAATCGCAAACTCGCAAAATTTAATTCCCCGCAAATATTTCCTGCTGTACGGTAGTTTGCCCACAAGTAGGTCTGTTGCCATGGCTATTGAAATCAATGAATGCCAGTTAGACTGGTACATAATTATCCTTAACCAGCGTAATTGTAGATATTCCTTATATGCATGCCTTGTTTTCATTTGACCACATGACATATGTACATGTACATGTAGTTTTGGTCCTGAACGCTACTGCAATTATACTTTTTTTAGTTACAATTACTCATTATGCATCACTATTATACTGCCTCTATTATTATGCTTGTTTAGGTCAGAAGAGGAAATGGTCGAATGGATGACCACCCTGGCAGGGGCTATTAGGAATGAAGAGGAAAAGATGAAATCCTTGAAAAGAGGAGAAGTATGTCATTTTGTTGACCTGTGTGCATGTACACAGCACGTGTCATGTGTTTGCATGTAGATGTACATGTAGGTAGACTGTTTGAGCTGATTCCGATGAAATTGGACTTTTTACGAATTTTTTTAATTGTAGGGGGAGTGTAGTACACATGTGTGTTATTAGTTAGCTCCCTCCTTTAGTTGGAATGTTGGGCTTGTTCTATTGTAAAGATCAAAGTTTAATGGGCTATTCTAGTACTACAGTTAGTGGTCATAACCCCAATTGTTGTTTACCAAAATCATTGTGCATTTGAAAATATCATGAATTACATGTACCCTAATTGTCGATCACTATTCCTTAAAATTGAATCCTAGTCATTAATTTTTTACCCATTGATGACGATTCATCCTGCAATGATACATGTACTTTCTATATCTGTTGTTGTACAAGGCAAACCTGTTTATTATTTATTGTCATAGCAATGACAATATACGATGTACCTTTTGTCATGGCTGGCAGATTATCTCATTAATAACATTAGAGATTTCTTCTCGTCCCATTGTATCAATAATATTCCCTCAGCAATGCCTTGTATAGTAATTAATCGGTAAATGAAATGACCACCTGATAAAATCACTTACACTGTAGTGTACACCACTGTCTTTTTATCACTACTTTCCTTTTAGCAATTGTCAACACTGGACAGGTCAGGTTTTGGTAGCTTTGCCCCCATACTGGTACCTGATCAAAGTGTGAGCATGTGTCAGATATGCTCCGAAGAGTTCACATTTATATTTAGAAGACACCATTGCCGGGCTTGCGGCAGAGTGAGTACCGTATAGCGGGTAAATTTTAAGGGGCTAAATTTTCGTGATTGGCAGATTTTAATTTGGCGAATTTGTGGCCACGTGCCATTGAGCATGCGTATAATGGCTCAAAATGGCGGATTTTTATTTTGGAAAATGGCTATCAAAACGCCAAATTTGCCAAATTTAATCCCCTCCAAAATTACCCGCTATACAGTATATACAATAGTTATTTGTTACTATACATTCTTTCTCATTGCAAATTTTCTACTCCTGTTCTTTCTTGTTATTGTTATCTCTTGTTTTTTATTTTATTCTTTCTCTTTTTTCCATTCATGTATTGTCTCCAATTTCATTATAATTATTATTTCTTATCCTTAGGTTGTGTGTGGTAACTGCTCTCCATTCAAAGCTTACCTTGCTTACATGAACAAAGAAGAGCGAATCTGCTCTGTTTGCAACCATCATCAAATAAGGCAGCACTGTGAGTTTGGCTCTGAGCCTATAAACAGAGCGTGCTTATGTGAACAATAATGCAGACTAGCTTATAATGAAACAAAAACAGTTTGTTCATCTAAAGATACACAAACACAAAATCTACATGCACATGTACACGTACATGTACATGTAAGAGTAGATCTACTTTTGATAATACTATTAGACCTTAATATGTGCATGCATGTTCTTTGTAGCTTATAATACGCACAGTATTTATTAACTTGTTTTATTTCATTAGCTTCTCAAGGAAGAGGAGATGAGATTGATGGTGATGTCCAATCACCTGCTGAGTTATCCCGTCCTATTATCCCATCAGTCTTAATAGTGAGTTTTATGCATCATTCATAATGCTAACATGGTCAGCAGTGTTTACTCTCATAAGAAGTTATTCATGATTTTATAATTATTGTTTCATTATACATTGTTACATCATGCTTGTGTGCTTGCTTGTGTGTGTATTGTTTTTATAGTGCATTTGTGGTATTATTTTACTCTATGATAATTTTTTAAATTGAGCTCACTGTTCGCATATTCTTGCATCCGATGATGTGTCCAATCTGTTTGCTTGTGACAGCTTATTTATTGAGAAAGTGTTGGGGTAGCTATTAGCCGTAATGAGAGCTAGTCCAGCCAAATCAGTTATTACTGGTATGAATAGCTACGCTAATTCACCTAGGAGTTGTGATAATACCTTTGAGACGAAAATGGATTTTTAAAATTTTGACGTTGGCAAGTTTTTACTCATAGAATGTGATCATGGCTTTAATCTTATACTAAATGTGCTACATGTACGTGTATACGCTTTATTGGTTTGTCTACCTACTTCAAATGATGCTATATTAAAGCAGTTTGCAATGTCTCCTTCATCTACTTTGTATCTCATAATTGTGACTCTCATCTCAACAGTTATTATCATCACTCTCTCTCTCTCTCTGTAATAGCTTGATCACGAGAAAGAGGCAATTACTCGTGGATATGTTCTGGAACAAGATGGAAAGAAGTGGAATAGATGCTGGTATGTGGTAGGCAAAGACCTGGCACTGTACAAGTTTAAAGCTCATGAGGTAATGGGGTGGAAGTGAGTCACATGGTTGACCTTATTCAGCTGTACTCTGTGTGCCTTGTTTGTAGTATAGTGTTCATACCAAGTAGTAGGGTAGATGACGTAAGAGTAGCTAAGGCTATGCATATCATAAAACACACAAAATTTAATTAGAGTCATGGTGGAGGGTTAATGGTAGCTAGGATAAGAGTACATCCTGACTTCACTATTCCATTGATGATTGATGAGTTCTTTATCAATGTTTGTTGTTCACAGGATATTAAAGCAAATGGAACAGTCCCACTGCCTGGCTACCGTGTGACTAGTGATAAAGCTTCCATGACAATTAACCTTATCCATCATCAAGCAATGAAAGAACTTAACCTTTCATTCAAAACAGAAAATCTTGCCGATTTTGAAACGTAAGACACATCCTTATAAACATTATGTGCTTACAAGTTCATTATTATTATTATTGTTGTTTTTTATACGTAGGTGGGTTGAAGTAGTTGAAAAGGCAGCACAGATGGAGGTATGTGAAGTACCAGTCAATCAAGACAATCGTATGTCAGTCTCTTATGGAAGCAAGAACAGGGTCTGCTCTAAAAGTGTTCAAGATATTGTTGACTCTGAAGAACCCGTACCAGCTCCACTGACACCCCAAAGCACCAGAGTGAATAAAACACCTTTGTTTTAACTATTTTGTTATTTTTAGCAATAGTGATTTGTATATTTATGTTGTTTGTGTGTGTGCTTTTGTGTGAGTCATGTTATCTCTCTCTCTCTCTCTCTCTTTCTCTGTGGATTATTTTTATTATCATACTGTGCAAGTTTTGTAGTGTTGAAACATTTATAGAAGCTTTTTCATTATTATTAATTATGATATTATACATACATATTACTGATTATTTTATTAATTTTGTATTATAACTTTATAAAGAGAACAAGCTTCAAAGCATTTGTGCCCGAGGCTAATGCATCTATTTTGGTTAGTTGTGTCTTTGTCAACTTTGTAGTCCAATGAAAATAAATGGGTGAACCCACCCAGCATTCATGGAAGGCCTATATTGTACTGCTATGAATAATTGTTATAGCAGAGTTTGCATTATTAAGGTGGGACCAATAATTTGCTGCAAATACCATAGATATTAGAGTAAATGAAAGGGAATGGTTTCCTATCCCTTTCATTTACTCTAATATCTATGGCAAATATAATCTTGCCGCTTAGACTTTGGACAACTGGACAACTACAGAATACTGAAAAAGATTAGTAGCGGCAGCTTTGCCAAAGTCTACACAGACTACACTGCACTTAAACAGACTACAGATGAAAAGGTAAGAGAAAGAAAT